TTTGTTGTGTCATTCAGGCTGTCTGCTTTTTTCCATGAAGCGCATGAATATTTCACATATCCTCAGCCTCATCCGCTATTCTTCTGACTAATTTTCAGACTGACTGAATTTGCATTTCACATGTAGCTGATTAGGAGTTGCCGAGCGCCACCGTGAAGCCTCAGAAGGCGGTTGCCATGGTGACCTGCAGCAGGATTTTAATGACGACGCCAGTGGCGGTTCGTGGAAGTCAGCCTGCCTACGGGTGTGAGGGTGGGTATGTGGGGGTCCTGGCCGAGGGGCAGGTATCAAAGTCTGACCCAGACAGAAGGCCCTGGAGCTGGAAAGGAAAACAGATTCCACTTTTTACTGCACTCCGTGCAGTTACCAGTTTTGAGAGACAAGAAGCGAGCATGTCATATGGCGCTCTGTCCGCCGGGCAGCCCCTCTTCCTGGCAAACCCGTTGTTAGGCCGAGGCAGGAGAGAGAGCTCTGGGTAAACGTGCAGGCTGATCATTACTAAAAATTGAGGTAGGGAAAATACACACTGCTAAGGTTGTCTCTGTTCAGTCACATGGAAAATGTCTCATAACAGGAGCTTTGAAATGCTGGTGTGCTGGTAATAAGTATTTTCTCTCCTTAGGTAGAAACTCAATTTGTTTATAAAATGATTATTCAGAATTTATGGTAGAAAAGCCCAAAAAGACTTAATGAGGCCATACTTCGATGGTATCTTAAATATTTCTTTATATAGGAGGCCTTTTAGAACCTAAAAATGTTCAAATTGCCATTTAATTTTTTACCTTGGCAGAATATAGGAAACAATGAAAAGCAAATACAGAGTTTTTAAGCAGTGAACGTTTAATTTAGAGACCAGTCCACTAAGCATCAGTTTTATAGCTAAAACAGTAACAGATTCTGTAACTGTTTGAAAATAAAAATTTTAAGCAAATTAATTTCCTACCAGATACCTGTTGGGAAGCTTATTACCAAATTGATGCAGCTACTGCTACGTTTCTATTTAAATGTGTGAAGCTGCCACGCAGAGACCGTCTGAAGGGAATGTTTCGTGAGAATAGCCTCTGCCCGCCGAGCAGCCTGGAATGGCAGGAATCCTCAGGAACGGCACAAGATTTATGTCTACGCATGGTCATTCCGCCTAGAAGAACTCAGAGTTTGAAAGTTAGGGATTTTTAAAATTTCTTCTAAAACATAAAAACAAAAAATGAGAAATATCCTTTGGAAAAATAAGTCTGCATGTCACATTTTTCTTTTAAAATTATATTGTTGTTATTATGTACAAATGATTAGGATTCCACACTGAAATATCTCAGCTGCACATGAATGACACTAGGAATATATATTTCATAGCTTACTGAAATATTTTTGTTTATGACAGTTTTTTTGGCGTTCAGTATTCTTTCTTTTTCCAACAATGATCTGTGTATCAATAGGGAGCTACTGTGCTTAACAAAAAAATCTTGGGTTGGAAAGAGAGGTATTTTTCTGTAGATGTCCCTTAGTTTAATTAATCTTGGTGTTGTTGGTGATTGTGAAATCAGCGTCACTAAAGCACACATTGAACACTTGCTGTCTACAAGGCCTTGCATCCAAAAGGCCACCCATGTGTGGTCCAGGCTCCCCTCCCCAGACCTGCTGAGCACAGGCCCTTCTCCCCTCCCATGACCCTCCCCATGCTGACCCTGCGGGAAGTTCCATGAATCTCCATGTCATCAGGGGTGCTGTTCCCTTTCTCCCCCTGTTCTGCACTAGGAGAGCCCAGCCGCCGTCTCCTGTGCACCCTCGTCCCCTGGCGGCCGCAGCACAGCGGCTGCTCCACACGCGGGCCCCGCTGCCGACCATCCGGCCCCCGTTCCTGCGGGGCCGTAACCCTCCCTAGCTGTGTGTCTTGGCCTGGCCAGTCATGATGGATTAGCTGAGGGAGTGAGGGAGTGAGGTGGAAGGAGTGGGTGGAAAAAAGAGTAAGTGAACCACTGAATGACAATTGAATGAGTAACAGACTTCCCCAGAGCATCTCTGTGTGGGAAGGCAGGTCCCCGGAGAGGGGCCAGGGCTGTGATCGCATTCTTCTGCTGACATTACCTGCTGTATGGTTTTTTTCATTTTTATAATTAAGCAGCAGCATTTCTGGACTGTCCAGTGTCCATTTACTGGGAAATAAGGCAAGTGGACATTTCCCTTCAGTTTTAATGTTTAATTTCCTTAGGAGACACTGGAGTGGTCATCAAAATTATGCATTTCCATTGTTCATGAAATTATGTCATGAGACTCTAAGAAAAAAACAGTGAATAGTTACATTGATAGCTTTTTGGCAAGTATAAAATGTGACTATATGGAGCTCTTTTTAACTGACTTTTTTTTGAAAATGTGAGTCTTAATATCAGGCAGAGTATGGATGTGGCCTCTTTAAATACTTCTTATTTATTAATAAGAATTCCTAGTTTAAATAGAGAAGATGTGAGAAAGATTAGATAGAATTGTGCCTCAGTGGTAGCTTTTAACAGATTTGTTTTCCTTTTTGATTTGAGCAGATAGGTTTGGAAGGAAGTTCTGAATAGTTGAGTAAAAAGGATTTGCAGATAAAAGTGAAAAAAAGAAGTAAGTAGGGAGAATAAGGGTGATCTTGGTTTGAGCAAATAGAAATTAAATCAAAGATTTGAAAAAGCAGTGCTTTGAGTAAAAAAGAAATTTAAGCACTTATGAAACATTGGTGAGATGGTTAAAGTGTTTTTAATAAAGTGGAGACTATATTATATATGACTTGATCTGAACTTATTACTATAGCAGGTATTTATCTATTTAGTAGCAATTTTAAATGTATTATAAACAAGAAAGATGTTTGTAGGACACAATATTTGTGGTTATTGTCTAATCATGCTTTTGAAAACTCACTAATTTAGTAGGTCTTCTTACTTTTTATAGGTGAAGAAACAAAAATACCATTTTGGAAATAGAATCATTAAACCAGGAATCCATTTTCACATTATTTAATGCCTCTCTTGTACATTAAATTTGTTTCTTTTGTGGCTTTGTACCTCAGCCCACAGATAGGAAAGTATCTGTTTTTATTGAAAGCCAGTTAATGGGGCTTCTCAAGTGTACGGCTATCCTTTAAGGTACCAACCTAAAGGTCACATCCAATCAAAAAACTAATGGAGAGTGACTGAAATCTCATCAGCTTTCACCCCATAAATGATGACAAATCTTGACGGTAACCCCCCTTCCTTTCTTGGTTGGACAAAGCCACATGCTTGGCATCCTTTTTTTTTTAAGTTAGAGAAGTGGAGGGTGGAAGGGGAAGATTTTCCTTTCTTTCTGCCTTTCCAGGAATAATTCAGCAGGCACCTGATGATGTCTCCCCTGCTGCTTCACGCAAATGCGTAAGAATTTCCAGTGCCAATTTCGTTACTCGTGACACAAGGAAGTACCGATTTTTCTGGAGTATCTAAAATAGAAGAACTAAAAAGTGCACTTTTTTCTATGCTCGATTACATATGGGTAACAATACATTTTTAGTTGAACTAAACTGATTTCAAGTATTTATAGCTTATTGTAAGTGCAAATATATTTACATGGCTTTAAATAAAATTGGAATATGGAATTTTTTCAACTGAAAATCACCGTTTTAAATCCACATAACAGCTTTCCTAGTGAGGAAGTCAGGGCCATGGCGCTCTTCCCATCCTGCATGTGAGCAGACAGCCGGGCGTTGTCAGACAGT